TAATATTAATTAATGAACCATTGTATATGAAATATACAGTTTATTTTATTTAAATATTATATGCTTGCGTTAAAGCCCATTAACATATAATTTATAACATCTATTTATTTCCCACCATTATTACTTTTACAAATAACTCAAGGCAACAAACACATCAAACACACTTTCTGTCTCCTATTTTCCCCACAATGACTATTCTGTGAGGTGGGTTGGGCTGAGAGAGAGAGTGACTGGCCCAAAGTCACCTACCAGGCTTTCATAACTAAGGCAGAACTTGAACCCAGTCTCCTGGTTTCTAGCCTGGTGCCTTGATTAGACCAAACAGGCTCTCAACAACATACATATTATTTTCACATAATATTAAAATCAGAATAATAATCCCAACACATAAACCTAAATGTATCCACCAGATCTAGTTGAAGAGATGTGAACAACCAGATCATGAATTTAAAACACAGATATTGTAACTGGGATTCAAACATTTCATCTCCTTTTAGTATTTCTAATAGACTAATCAGCAATTTTAAGAATCTTCATCTGAAACATTTTTTTCTCTTTTCCCAGACAATTAGGGAAAGAACTGAAACATATATTAAGATTTTATCATATTAAAGTATTGCAATTATTGAAAATATTTTTAAATACTGTAAATGGGCAACACATTTCCAGAATTACACTATACATTATAACAATGCATAATTGCCAGGGCTGTTTAAAACTTTGAAGGAGTGCTTTACTTTCATAATGCAACATGATCTTCTGCTTCTAAGAACTGAAGAAGCCATGTTGCTTCATTTCCAGTTGCTTTGAAGTCCTTCTGGCATATCTAATGGCAAATGGAAGTGACTGTGGAAGAAACAAGTAATGCACACCTCATAAAAGAAATTGCATCCCCTTAGTGACACAGAGAAAACTGATACACATTTCTCATCCCATCTCAATATTCCTAATAAATTACTTTTCTTTTTTTTTTCTTTTTTTTAAAATTTTTTATTTATAAAACAATTAAAAAGAAACATTGGATTTGACGTGACATTCCAGTATATACATTCTTATCAGATTATACCATATTTTACAATCAATTCATTATCTCTACATATACATTAAATTTTATATACATTATCTATTCTAAAGTAACATACATTTCTATCTTAACATTCGTCTTTAATCCCAGCCGTCCTTTTC